AGCAGGTTATCTTCCTTTAAAAATTAAACGTTATATTAGTGCATCCTCAGCAGGTTATCTTCCTTTAAAAATTAAACGTTATATTAGTGCATCCTCAGCAGGTTATCTTCCTTTAAGTGCACGTGTAACAATTCTACTTGATGTGTGTTTTTGCACTTAAAAAAAGAGCATCCTATGTAAAACATTGTGGTAACAAACGTTTGTTTTTAAAAAGGGTAAGTGTTTGTGTCTTCTTCTTCCTTCATGGTACTCCATAATCTTTTTACAATCTAACATTGGTTGTAAGGTTTCACTTTCATTGGGCAACATTTAGAGGTAGCTCAATGATATTATTTATATCGTTATGTAAGTCTGTAGGGTCATGGCAAACAGAAATAAATAAAATCATCCTGTAATGCACTGAAACTTTATTCACACTAAATATCAAGGTAAATACAAATATCAGATCATCGCAAATATTAAATTAATTAAAAAAAAAAATTGGATATACAATTTAATTTTAGAAAACTTTCTCCAACTCGTAGCATTTTTTTTTTTTTTAGTTATCTGGAAATTTCTTCTGGTGCTCTGAATGTATTGCTTTTGCTCTTCATTTTTGGTGATGGAGCAGTTGAAATACTGTATGAGCTTAACTCCTCTCTCAGCTGAATTATTTACTACTTTGAGGTTTTCAGCAAACTGTTTGGCATGTTGAAACATTTTTTAGTTCAGGGGGTTCATTACTCCTCTTCAGAAGTCCCTTAAGACGAGGACATAAATTCAGTTGAGGCATAACAACCAATTTTTCTTTTTCGCATTTCTTCACGATGGCATCTTTTTTCTTCATAAATTTTTGTCAGTACACGATCTACTACAGTGATGTATCCCTTTCTTTCACCACACTGATCAATCAAGAATAAATGATCATCTTCTATTTTAATAAGCTTCATGGCAATTAGCATGAGCAATGTTAAAAAGACTGTCAAGTTTCTCTTGAAAAGCACTTTCATTTTTCATCTGTTTTGTTTTGAGTTATCTTTTTTATTTTGTTCCACGAGTTAAATATTTTCTCTAACTTTGCACTCTATAGTTGTTGGTATGTGAGTCATATTCCACAGCTGAATTACTTTCGTAATGGTACACCTTGCACTATCCCCCCGATACTCATCTTCAGTGTCATGTGTTTGTAAAAGAATACAGACCCATCTAGGCAACATGTTAGCAGCTTCCTGCCTGATATTTTTTTCATTAATTGGTCCCACAAGCCAGATCTTTCATGTTCGAGTTGTACACGATGATGAAGCGATATTTTCAGAATCCTCCATATTAAAATAAATGAATGAAATAACTAAGAAACTTCACAAAAACAATGACAACGAAATCTAAAACCCTTGCTGCTAGTCAAAAAGAGAACACTGTGCGTTTATTACCTTAAATATATTCTTTATTATTTTTAATTTAAATTATACGTTTATTAATGTTCTAAAAACAGTAAGCTCACAAAAGTTTTATTGGCTTGAGCAACCCTTAAACGTTAGTCAATCTAATTCAAATTTGGCATAAATTATCTTTATATTATTTCAAACAAAATTAGAGAGTACCATATCAAATTTAGCGAGTTTCAATTTTTACTGATAATTTAGGGACAACTCTAATGTATATACATACATACATTCAGACAAGCTTAAAATGTTACATTAATTGAAACTAACCTATAAATTCCTGTCCTTTGTTACAGTTTTTTTTCTTCTGATTGACAATTTTTTACTGATTGACAATAAAGCATATTACTTAGACTTACAATGTTTTTTTTTTTCATTTATTGTGATTTATGGATGTCAACATTTAGAATTTATATTTTGTGATTAGTAATAATATGTATTCTAAATCTTGCTTTCAGAAAATAGTTAAGGTGCTCACCTAAATTATGTTGTTATAGAAGTTTTTGCTTTCTGAATTTTAGGCTGAAGTAGATGGAGTTAGAAAAGATCTGTTGTCTATACTAGACAACAGTGGAAGACCACCATCTCGTTCATCTAGTCTTAGGTCCACCCCAACCAGAAGGTGAGATACAACATTGAATTAAAAAGTAATGATGATAATTAAAAAAAATGAAGTGAAAGCTGCAGAGTTTTGTATTGTCTATCTATATAAAACATGTTTGTTATTTCTGGTATGTTTTTTGCACTGGTCTTGAGAATTACTAGAAAAGAAGCAACGGAAATGCACGATCGTGCCTCTTTTTTTTGTGTGTGTGTGTGCTTTTACTGGCAACATGGGCTTAGCTAGTACTAGTTCTAGTATAATTATTATTATTATCATTATTGCAGTACCTAAAAGTCCCTAATTTTGTTTGATCATCACGAGAATATTGTTCCTGAAAAGGAACATTATTGTTATGCAACTTTTGTATATCTAAACATAATTAAATAATAATAATGAAAAGCTCTCGATCTTCAACAAGCAATTCAAAATGAGCTAATTCCTCAACCTATCATGTAAAAAAGCACAGTTTACTATTTTGTTTTTTTCCTTTCTCCGAAGTTAGGCTTAATTTTGCAACTATTTACATAATTCCTTTCTTTAAGATAATTTGTATTCTTTAAGTAAAAATATGTTTATTAGGGATATAAACTCTGATATTCTGGGTTTTATTTGCAGTAAAATATTTGTTGGAGGGGCAATAAAATTTCTTTAGTTTTGTTTCAACTGATTTAGTGAGTCTTTATTGAAAGTAAAGTTCAACTTATGATGGTGGTATTATTTTTTTCCATCTTACAATAACAAAGTTATTTTAACTTTTTTTATATTTTTTTTTTTACCTTTTAACTAGGTATTTTTGATAAGCTTTAATAACAGTATTAAAATCAGTACGACCACAAACTCCAGATAAATTAATTTTAATGTACTCAATGTTTTGACTTGTGCCTTTATTGAGGGTAAGGTTACCTAACCCTTGATCAAGATGTTAAAAGATTTGTCTGGAGTTTGTGGTTGTGTTTATTTTAATTATAGAGTTTAGTTTCCAATGTGCATTTAAAGTAGTAGCTTTAATAACAGTTTCTGTTGTGGATTATTAAGGTGGAATTCAACCCTGTTAATGCGACAATAAATTCATAATGATGCCAAATTTATTTATTTATTCTATTAAAAAGACTTTAAAAAAATAGTTCATACTATTTTTCTTTTTTCTTCATCATTCGCCATCTTGGTTAGATTCGGTTACTTAGAAGACAGTTTTTCTATTGCTGAAAAAAATTTATCAAAAAATGATAAAAGTGACAGCTTGTATTAAAAGAAGTGTGTCCTAATTTTGTGTTACTTGTTTTTTAATTTTTATTTTCCAAGTCACATTTGTCAAGAAACTTTTTTTTTGTTTTACGTGTGTAATGTTCAGTCGTGCATCAACACCATCAATCAAAAAAAGCTGCAGTGGAATCAATAAAGGGGGACAGCCATGTAAGGCCACTTCCATGTCGGGGAAAGATTTCTGCCATCATCATTTGAACCAAGCTGATTTCACCTAGAGACTGGATAAAGAATTAATGAACTCCGAAACATGTGAACTTCTGCAAAAAAATACTTGCAAAAGAAGCTACAGACAACTGTTTCACTTTCATTGTATAAAGCTTAATTAAGTATGTGATCATATTCTTATATACTTGTGTGCAGTGCGATCTAGTGTTGTATTTAGCTTTTGATTTTAAAAGAATATTTTGAGTAAGTTAGCTAGTTTAAAGAATAGAATCAAAGTGTTATGTAAATTTATTGTAAGCAGGTACATATAATTTTATGAACTGAACGTTGTGGGAAGTATTTAACCAGCAAATAAAACTGGTAAATAGCATAGTATGCAAATTTTAGTAATGTACTGTATTGGTTGTCTCTTTTCTTTATAGTTTTTATGTAGTTTATAAGTATACAAGCTTTGAATTATGCCTCATTCTCTATAAATTGTTTTTACTTTCGGTAAGGTTTAGTATTGTATAATACCCAATCTTTTAAATTTTTTTTCTCTTTACTTTTATTCCTTTTTTTATTGAATATAACTTACCATAAGGTTTTGTTTTGCCAATATAGAACAAAACAAAGAATTTTCACATAAATTTGTGCCTAAGTTTTGTGGATAGGTTATTGGATGTTTAGTGACATCTGTGTGTGATAGAAGAAACAACCAGTTTTATTTTATTTGTTTGTGTAAGTGTATCATTTATGTACTAAAAGCATAAATTTTCACCAATTAGTTAATTTGGACTTACATTCCACAAAACAAAAGCATTTTATTTTGATGTTACCAAGATAAATGACACATCAAAAAACATTTATCTTCTTCTTTTTGACTAGAGTTAAAAAGTTTTATTTTTTTATCTTGTATAATATTTTAATGTGTTGTTTTATTTTACGTTAGGATAGCTGGTGTAAGTAAAATTATTGTTAGCCAAAAGCTATGCTTTTTTCAGTATGATTTGCACGTTTGTTTTAAACTGATCATTGTGTGAAAATGTTTTAAGCATTCAATGTACAAATGAAAGATTGTGAGCTAGAAAATATGAGGACTTTCCTATCTCGAATGTGAACTTTTTATTCTGTTTTCTTGAACTATTAAAGTTTTCTTAGGTCTTGGTATTAGTCCCTTAAAGATCATTAACTAATGATAAAAAGCTAACAGAAAAATGTAGAAACTTTTTTTACTACTTCAGTTATCCACTTTTGTGCAATTGTAGTTATATAGCCCCCAGTGGCTCGGCAGTAAGTCTGAAAGCAGAAAACCAGGTTTTCGATACTCGTGCTAGGGCACAGCATGGATATCCCAAACAGACAAATGAAAAGTAATTATATAAGCTGTAGATGCTTTTTTTATTTTGATTCCTACATTTTGCTTAATTGCAAGATACTTTTATCTGAATGTTGTTTTTCACACACGCAATTCGTGTCATTCAATTTACAAACATCTCTAGAACAGAGTTGTAGATTTGAATCTTACTATCTTCGCTATTCCTTTTTTGATATTCTGTACTTAGCATTGTTTGTAAAAAGTAGATGATTATTGACAGTTAAACATCTTTAACAGTGAGGGTACCTAACTTTGAAACAATACCTGTTAGTCTTTGTAGGTATGAAGTGTACATTTAATTTGCTGTAGTCATTACTAGGTTGATTTTTTCAGTTTCACTCTAAGTAGGGATTTGAAAGTTAAGAGTAATTGTAATGTCTCTTTGTCACAAAATTTGAGAAGGTAATTTTGCTGTTTGTCACTCTTATTGATTCCTAAGAAAGGAAAACCAATTTCATCTGTTAAGATACTTTACTATCAGAACCCAAGGTAGGCTTAAGAATTTGTTGTAAAGCATTTGTAAAGCTTGTTTTGTTTATAAAAGTAAATTTAATTCCTTATAAATAATGATGGAATAAAGAAATAAACAGACATGTTAAAGCACATTTTTTTTCAATCTCTTATAACTGATTTATTTGGTGTTCGACATTTCGAAGGGTGCAAGAGCTTTAATTCTTCACACTATAAAGGTAGAAGTTAATTAAAAAAACAAGTTTAAAATTATAATATACAATTCTGATACTCCAACCAGATAAGCTACCAGGTTTATTGAAGACTACAGTCTGTTTTCACTTTTGGCAGCTCTAAATAGTGATGCCAATTAGCCAGGATCTGCTGATGATAATTTTAGTTTTAAGACCAGATCTAACCCTGTAACTTTAAAAATTTGATGCGAAGAATTATAATTTGTTTCTTTGCGTAATGTAGAAATGGGATCACAGTCTGAAAATATCAGTTCTATATAGTTTACTCTAATGGACGTATCTATCTATTTGTATGATCGAAATGTGGCGCCATCTATAGAGTGGCATCACAAACAAACAAAAAATCCATAAAATAATTTCACACTGGGTATTCAAGATTCAGACAACTTGAAAAGTAACTACGGGATATTCAACAATAATTTATTTAAAACAGCAAACAATTTTAAATAAAACTACTCACAACAAGAATAACTTTCACTGGGACTGTACGTGAGGGTTTGATTATATCCTAACTGATGTAATGTGTAAATGTAGTATTGAGAAACTGGAGTCTTAAAAAAACTTATTTTTTTCAATAAAGGGAACCACTTTTAATACATAAGAGCATTACAGTTTATATCGGCACAATCTGAACACTTTTCCCGTGCAGTACATTATGCGAACACTTAACAGTTTAAACACATGTATGGCTTTACAGGTAATGCTAATTTAAACATTTATCTATAGTATGAACAAATTACAGCTTTGCTGTTGTCTTTTAATTTTTTTTTCCAGTACGATACACTTTAGGTGTGGAGTGCACATCTGCATATCAAAATTTGAAATAAAAATAAAATTAGTAATTCTAACTATTTTCAATACTTTTTACCTGAAAAGTATCTCAGAATTTATATAATAGAATCTCCAAAAATGGCAATGTAAGGTGAAAGAAGAGGTAACTTACCACTGGTAAAATCGTGTTCGTGGTCCACAAGTAGTATATCAATCTTGATAAAAGAGTTAGCACAAATTATCACATATAAAGTGTAAAAAACTTAAAACAAGACCCAAAACTCGAGTGCTTTCTTCTCCAGGAGAACAAAGAAGAATAGTGAACCATTCGAAAGCTTGTATTTTTTGAAAGCCAATGAAAATTCGTCTATTACAACAACATTGGTTAAGTGACGGGAAATTGTTCCAATGACCGAAATCCTTATTTATTTTATATTATTGTCATTAATAAGTTTATCGTGTTCAAACAATACGCGTAAATATAAACCAATTATTGAGAAGGAACTATTTATTATATATAAGTTGATCTGGACAAAGAATATTGGTGCGTGACATACTTCCATTTTGAAAGGTTAGGTCGTCAATAAATCTTTCGGTTTTTGCTTGTTTTATTTTTATGATTTACAGCCAGAAGTGGAGAACGCCGCAGTAGGCAAAAATAAAGTATTGTTGCGTCAGCGAGGTCACGTGACTAGTGTCACGCCACGTTTTCTAGAAGTATCCTGTTCCTTCGTGAATGCCCTAGCATTTACTAGATTGGGGTAGTCTGGTATATATAAGATGGTCACAACGTGACGGGAACAGAAGTGTAGTATTGAGTAATTGAACTGCAGTCAGAAAGTATTGTTGAAGTTAACGTTCGTTGTTATAGCGCAACTGTTGAAATTAAGTGTATCGTATTCGGAAAGAATAAACCAGTTTTATTAAGAAAGGACTTGTGTCGCTAAAGTTTCGTCGGAACGAAGTTACGGAAAATTAATTAACGACTGGAGGCGTAACAATATTAAAAGAAACATGTTCAACTATATTTTTGATAACCAATAAAAGAATATTGTAAGATGAGAGTAAGTATTTTTAATGTTTTAAACACTTGAGTTGGTATAATAATGACCGAAAAGTGTTTAGTAATTTCGAGTTCCTGGGCGAATAACTTTTCTACTGATGAGTTGTGTATCAATAAGTACGTTGTCGCACTTCGTGCCGCTTTACCTTGAAAATATGACGATTACAAACTGTCATATTGCTTCGTGGAATTTTATTACGATTTGAGAAAAAGAACGAATTAAGTCTCGTGATGGTCCTTTTGAATTTAAGTAACGTTTAATAAGTTTTTTTTTGTTTTACTCGTGCGAATTTTTTTACGTTTTGCCTACTATTTACATATAAAAGACAGACTGTATTAAACATATATTATTTCACGTAATTATACATCAGGGAATGAAGTGACGATCCCTATTGTAGGGATAGGTTAGTTACAACCCAAAGTACTAATCATGGTCTCTTATCAATAAGCCATTATGTACGTTATATGGAAGTGGGTAATGTATTTTATACTCATTACTGCACCGCGCAGTATCCTAGTCATAGCTCAGGTTACTTCAAGGAGCAACATCTATAGATTATATTATGGCTCCCTATAGAATAGAACTAAATAAGTCGGTGAAATAGTGTCTTTCATCTAGAGGTTACAGCCCCACTGGAAGCCAAGCTTTCGACTCGTAAAAAAAAGTGCAAAAACTAGCTAGTAAAGAATGAGTAATTAATGCAAGAATGAACAATTCCGATTTTCCTTTTATCTCAAATGCTCTCTAGTTTCTTTTTTCCCACCCTTATATCCCATCAATATTAGAATAAATTTTGTATTAATAGTGTGTTTGTATATATATATTGTTACGTCTCCGTTTGTTAAATAACTTTCCGTAACTTCGTTCCGACGAAACTTTAGCGACACAAGTCCTTACTTAATAAGACTGGTTTATTCTTTCTGAATATAACTTCACGATACACTTGATTTCAACATTCGCGCTAAAACAAACGCTATAACGAACGTTAACTTCAACAATACTTT